TTAGTAATATTTTTATTATAATTTTTTTATTGAATAATTATTAAAATTTTTTTTCCATTTAATTATTTTAGGTCACTCAGATGTTGTAATGGGAGCAATAGCCACAAATAACCAAGATTTGTATGAAAAAATGAAGTATTACCAAAATTGTAAGTTGCTATTAAATTCTTGTTGATTATTTGAGCAATATTTTTGATACACTATACTTTATAATATAATTTTTTAAAATTGTGAGTGGATTCAATTTTTTTTTCATGCTACTACTGTGTCTTCAGCTTATTTGAAATTGTGATTTTTTTTTTAAATTAAATTAATTTGAAGTAAATATTGAACAAATATTTTTCTTGTAAGCTTTAATAGAAGGATATGTCAATGTTTACTTCCAGCTCTTGGTACAGTACCATCTCCATTTGATTGTTTCCTTGTGAATAGAGGATTGAAGACTCTGCATATTAGGATGGAAAGGCATATGGAAAATGCTCAAAAGGTGGCAGAATTTCTAGAAACTCATAAATATGTTGAAAAAGTTATTTATCCAGGTAGATATTATTATCTTGCATGTTTTTATAATCTCATAAGTGAAGGAAATATATTTGTTTTTCTTATTAGTTCATAAAAACATTTCTATCTTTAAATGTGATGATCAATTGTGTGTTTTTTTATATGATGAAATTTTAATATGGACTAGAAAAATTGAAATTTTGGCGCTAAACACGTCATAAGCTCAACATATAAAAAGTTATTCATCGTTCTCAGTTTTGAGATGTTTTGTAGGTGTTTTTCTTATTCTGAATTAGACCTACTCACTGAGGTGATAACAATCTTAAACCAGTTGTTTATTTTAACTTTTTAGATGATCATGATTCTCTCCATGGACAACGTCTTCATGATGAGTATGTCATTGATACCCTTATTTTTCAAAATGACTGCTGAAAGTGAGATTCATTGGACTGAAATGATATGTAACTTGTATTACGAACACTCACATGCCCTATTACATCTCCATTGGCCTGGAAAAGCAGCTGACTTGAATCCCATAGAAAATCTATAGAATCTGTTAGTCTAATTTGTGGAATCAGCCAATCTGTCTTATTATTATTTATCAATTAGCCATCTTTAGAGTTAGTTCGATTTATGTGGTAAATCTCAATGCGCAACTTAAACCAGAATGTCTTCCAATCACAAAAATCTTCACTTTTTTTTTAATTTCAAATTCTGGATTTTCAGAAAATTTTTAGTAGGAAAATTAATTTGAACTCCTGTTATTGAGATGCTTATAAAAGTATTTAATAGAATAACTGAGAGAGATTTTTTATTAGAAATTCTCATCAGTAGTAGATGCTATCAAATAGTTGTACATTTTATTAATCAATCAATTATTTTAAGCTAGAAAACCTTGTGGACTTACTTCCTAAATGAATTCAGGTGGTTACAGGCTGAGCTATAGGATATTAAATAATGCTTTGAATGCCTTCTCTAGGAGCTATAAAATTTTTTGTTCAGTGAGCACATATTTTTTTCTTCAAAAAACTATGACTTTTCTTCCAAATGACATTTTGCAATATTTTCAAGTAAAAAAAAAAGAGACACTTGCTAAAGATGACAAAACTCATCTGGACAGTTATGATTAATTGATTTGTAGTCACATCATTTATGATAAACCATAAAAAGTAATATTTCATATGTTTCAAAAAGCCTTTGAAGAGACTCTTAAATTTCAGTTTCAAAAGTCTATGAATAAAAAAAAAAAAAGCACATACTTTCTCACAGAAAGAGACACTTGGAGTTTTAAAAGGGTTTTTCAAATTTTTCCCCCCGCTTAACATTGTTAAAATGTATCAAAATATTGAATATTATGTAACAAATGAATTTGATTCGCAACAACTTTTAACTTACCCTCTTATACTCTTTTATGTGTATATTTCAAAAAATAATTCTCCCTCATTATAATAGTAAGAGAAAAATTTGTAGTTAATAAAAAATAATTAAGTGTATGCTCTAAAAAAAAAAAGATTAATTTATAAACAACTTGAAAATTTTTTCTATAATTACACTAAAAATTACTGGAAAATTAACTTATAAAGATGTATTTATAAGTAAAGATTTATTTATTTAAAAAAAATCTGAAATCATTTACAAAAATATTATTTAATATACCCCTCTCCAAAAAGAGAGTTTAACCAGTTGAGAATACTTACAAAGTAAATATTTTTGATAATAATCAGAAGTAACTACACACACAGATAACTACTAACAGTAACTACTAACACAGATAATTTTACCAGGGTATAAACATTATTAAAACATTAAATTGATTTTTTTTAAATGGAGTAGAAATAAAAAGGCAATGTTTCTAAGTGCTTATTTTTACAAAAAGGGCAAAGAAGATGCATTTATAGGGATCAAAGAGCACAGGACCTTCTAAAAATGCTCAAGAAGAGCAAATTAACCTCTTTTGCATATAGGCTCTTGTTATAAGATGAATAGTTTGTATTAAATTTTATTTTAGTTCACAAACCAAAATTTGTATACCAGAATTTCACACATTATTTTATTTTTGTACAGGTTTGAAGAGTTATCCTCAATATGAGTTAGCTCACAAACAATGCTCTGGAACCAGTGGTATGGTTAGCTTTTATGTAAAAGGAGGTTTGACTGAAGCACAGAAGTTCATTGGGAATCTACAAATTTTCACCTTAGCTGAGAGCTTAGGAGGCATTGAAAGTCTTGCTGAGATACCGTAAGTTCATTATTCTTAAATTTTGTTAATGATTTTAAATGTGTCTTTTGTTCCCATTATTCTTTAAGCATCTACGGAGCGGTGATATTTGCATATTGATATTACTGTGACGCTTATCGTCACTCAAAATTAAAATCAAGAGAAAGGGCTAAGATTAGATTTCTAGAACATTTCAGAGTCTTCGATTAAATAAAACTACTGTGGGAAATCTCCATCGGCAAATAGTAAGTTAAATACGGATAAAGCAATTCAAATAAACGATTAGGTTTAAATCTTACAATGTCACCCCCATCATGTGATTGACCCATCACGGGACAAACTCGAAAACAACAATGACTTTTGAACTTGACCTTTCCTCAGATTTGTAACTTTTTATCACCCAAAAAATACGATATAAAAGCAGCCGAAGGAAAGGGTTAAAAAAAGCAATCAAAAGCAATCAGCCTAAGTGACAAAAGGCCGAACCATGACTAAACTTGGTAAGTCTCTCTCCATCTATTCTAAAAAAGCACGTAAGAATTAATGTATAAATAAGTTGAATTAATTGTATATCCTTATATTAATGTTATTTCTTAAATTGTTTAAATAATAAAATGTTACTAGTTAAAAGTAATACTTCTATTTATCCTTTATTTAAAAATTATTCAAAAACGCCACAAGTATTTCAAAAACGCCACAAGTGCATATTGATATTACTAACTTTACACTATGCCTTCTCAAACTTGAAGGATTAATCAGAAAAGATCAAAGTTCTAGGATTAATTCATTTCAAGCTGTAACTCTTGGACAAATTAATAAACTTTTCACACTTCTGTTCACACAAAATATGATAACCTCTCAAATTGATAACATTGTGTTATTTCTGAAAAGTTATTTACTCTGCTTTTAAAATATAAATTTCTCTTAATATTAAAATAAAGGCAATGAAATTTGTTAAAGCCATTATTTTAAGTGACAAGCAAAAATTAAACCTTCCAACAGTACATTCCCTCATATATCACTTTTTCACAAATTAGGTTATCTCCAGTACTTAATTTATTCCATGTAGATAAATAAATTTCTAATAAATAATGTAAAATGTCACACATTTCTTTTTGAATTAAAAAATGTTTCATAAATTAATTTTTTTAATGACACATTATCGTTTAATTATGCATCTTTTATCTGGGATGGTTCAATTATTGTGTGAAGCACGGTCATATAAAATTTACAGAGAAAGCAAGTATATTACACAATCTAATTAAGATTAATTTAAGGTGTAGTTTAAGGTTTACTTAATAAATCTTTTATATTGTTAAGGTAAAAAAAAGTATTACTAATTACAATAATTTTAAAAACTTGCTATATTTCAGATCTGTTATGACCCATGCATCTGTACCTGAAGATCAACGAGCAAAACTTGGCATTAGTGATAATTTAGTTCGTCTATCAGTAGGAATCGAATCTATCAAGGATTTGATAGCAGACTTAGATCAAGCATTACAAATTTCTGTAAGTATTTCTTGAAATGTTTCTCAGATAATTTAATATGTCAGTTAATCAAAACCTATTATTACTTTATACTTTGTAACTTTGCTGGATATTGTGTTTAAATATTTGGAATCAGCCATGTTTGGAAACAATACTCAGTGACAGTTAGAAAGTCACCTTTGGAAAAGTTGTGGTTTATCACTACATTATCTCAATTTTTTTGTGTTCAGGGTAGCTATTTTAATACATATATGTTATTCTTATTAATGTCATTAATTATTGACAGTTTAATAAAATGTTTTTACTGAGCTATAATTGTAGGAAAAATATTAATTTGGCAAACACATTTGGAAAAAATGTTACAAACGTTATGGATTATTTTTTTTAAGAATTTCTTAGAATTTAAATTTTGTAATTTGGGTACAATTTTAAGATTGCAAGAAATGTGATTTAATTTGAAATTCAGATTCTGGGTTTTCATCTAACTTTTTGTTTTTTGTCTTGTTTGTTTCATGTTTGGTATCTACTGATATTCTATTACACGTGTATTTGAAATAGTGACAAATTATTGAATAAAAATAAAGTAATTAGTTAATATAAAATAATTGAAATAACATAATCAAAACATTGACTGTTGTTTTTAGTAAAATATTCTGTACTAATAATTTTATTCAGCTCTATAATTAATTCCATTTATACAGTGTGTTCATATCTTCTGCATTTTCTTTTTTTTATTATTGAATATTGAGTTAAATTCTAGAATAAATAGAATGGAATTCTAGAATAAATTGTAAATAAATTATATTAAAATAAATAAATTAGGTATTTATAAATTATTCTTTTTTTTATTTCAGCAAAAGTAATAGAGCACATCATGACTATTAAAAATGACAAAGAAAAACATCACCTGTTACTTTCTTTGATTTAAATTTTGTACAATTCTTATTTTTATTAAAGTTTTGTTGCATCATTCTTTTGTCTTTATATTTATTGTTTCGTCTTTCTTTTTCATTGATGGTTGAAATCTGTTCTAATACAGTAGGGAACCGATTATCCGGAACGATCGGGACCATCTCTATTCCGAATAACTGATTTTCCGGTTTTCTGAATCGATACAAAAAGCAGTTTCTTTATTGTTAAACCCAACTAAAAAAACAAAAATCGTTAGAAATAATCTTAAAAAGAAGAAAAAACGATGAAGTTATACACTAATGATTATTTCCAAAATTATGGTAAGGTGAACATCTTTAAAAAAAGAAAGAAAAATCCTAAAATCTTATGAGGAAAAATCGTTTTTCTTTAAAAAAATGGCGGGAAAATTTATCGAATTTCGTTCCGGTTTTTTGGTTTTCCGGTTTTCTGATTTCAGGATAACAGGTTCTGTACTGTATATTGTTTGATAATGAAAAATATGTTGTACAGTTAATTGGATTTATACTTATAAGTAAAAGTGCTGCATTATAAAATAAATACGATTATGGAAAGGAATTGTTATTTGAATATCTATTAAAATTATTATTGTAAATTTTTATAATAAAAATATACGGTTTGTGATTCACTATTTGGTTGATTATTCAAAAAATGGGAAAAAGTAATAATGAATATTTAAGCAAACGAAATATTACATAAAATTTTATTTGAACTGTTTTAAAAATTTTGTGTTTACTATTAAGTGTTACTTTTTTTTTTAATTTTAAAACATAGTTGGAGGTTTATATGTTATGTATTGTTTTAATTGAGGAATCCCCCAATTGTATGAAGGTTCTAATTGGCATTTTAGTGAAGTTAGTTAATTTTTCAGAATATGTCTCGGGGGAAATAGGAAAACTTGGAGTTAGATAAGATTGAAAACTCTGAGAATACTCAGTAAAAAAGATGCTCTGTAAAAAAGAATATTTTTATTGAAAACCTAGAAAATTAAAATTTGGACATTTTTGTAGTTTTTTAAATAAATTATTTTTTTTAAATCGTAATTTATTACTTAAATGCTATCCTACCAAAATTGTTAATTTTCGAAACCAAATATGTCAGGATGTCTTTTTTGTTGATGAGAAAAAACTTTTATTGAAACTTTATAAAAAATTGTTTACTGTAATGTTTGAGTATCTTTTTTTTAAATTGCAATTTATTTTTAAGCGGTTATAATATGGTTAATAATATGACTAATATTTTTTTAACTAAAGGTCTTAAGTCATTTTCAAAGTTCATAGATGGTTAATAATAGTATTTTTTTTTTTTTTTTTTGAATTCTTCAAAATGTTGGTAATTATTTTAAGCCAAGTTTTTGATTTATAATTTTATTAATATGTTGATATAATCCTACAATGCAATATAAAAAGTAACGGAAGAGACAAAAAATTCAAATTTTATATTTTTAAGCACAATAAGTATTTTTTATATAATAAGCTACTGATTCTTGTTTTTTTTTTCTTCCAAAAATCAATATTTTTATTATTAGTTTTTTGAAATTTTGTTTTAGCATTGATAGCATTAGCATGGGAAAGAAAATAGTTGTAAAGCTGCGTTTCTTGAAATCTATTGTGAATCATTTACTTTGATTTTTTTTTTATTGCACTGCAAAATAGGGCTAGATAGTATTTAGGGATGATAATGGTTTTGTATTGATAAAGATCCATGCACTTTTAATTTTCTAGGAATTTATTAGTGTTTTTTAATCTTAACAGATGTATTACTTTTTTGCATGTTTTATTTTTAGAGTTACTGCTCGGGATAATCTCGAAAGTTGAACAAATTTTTTTGCTGAAAATAATTATTTTAAAAATAAGAAGTCAAGATTATGCTATGCCTTTATTTCTTGTCAAACTTCCATTGGACAAAATTCATATATCTTTAACACTCAATTAAACTGTTTAGGTAGCATTTGTAATCTTGGTGTTTTAATTTGGTGTCGAAAGAGGTGAAGGCTGAAAGATCCATTGATTGATTGCTGCTGTTTGCAATTGGATTCTTCTTTTGTCACATATAACCTAATCTGCGAAATTTTGTAAAAATATTTGTTAACCGTTTCTGATCCAGTTTGGCCACATTAATGCAATGAATGTCGCAAATTACTAGAACTGCAAAACTAATTTCTTTTAAACTGTTAGCAACCTTTATTCTTTAAACAACGGCGAGTTAAAGTGTGTCTTTTCGCTTAAACTGTTCTGTCTAAGGTTGGACTTGCTAATGTCCTGTCTGACTATTACATAAAATTGAATTTTAATTTTTCTTTAAACTTCAGATTAAAAACTTTGTGGTAGATTTATTCATCCAGGAGCCGAGTTTTTTGTGATAAATATCTTTATTTTTGCATAAAAACTTAATATACACCCTTAGGGTTAATATAAAACATCAAATTCACGCTTAGACTTTCCATTACATAGTAATGTATGACATGTGATATATATTTTTCTACAACAAACATAAGCTCTAAAATAGAGAAAAAAATACATTAAGATCGTAAGCTTTGCTTTAAAAAAAGCAAGCATATTTCAACATCTTTTTTACTGCATTCGATTCCAATTTATGGTATCTCTAATCAGTAGCACTGAGTTACATTTTGCAAAAACCAATGTCATAGTTGCCAACTTGTATGATCGTTTAAAAAACAAAGTGGTAAAAAAAGAATAACATGGAAATTGTAGTAACATTAGGTTACTTCAGCAATAATTAAATATTTATAAATCTTTTTTTATTTAATCTTAAATGAATAATTTTAAATTATTTATTTTAGTGGTAGATGCGACAATTTTTTTTAATCATTTTTGAAGACCAAAATTTTTTGTTAAACACAAATGCTATCGCTAAAAAAATTTCATCGACAGCTGTACAAGTACTTTTTCAATATGGCAGTAAGAATATTTTAAAATTTATTCTTATTATACACTATAAGTATATCTTACTATAATGGAATGCACCATAGTTCTTAGAAATAATATTTATTGAATGTTGATGAATATTGAGCTCAGTAATATTGCAATTATTATCAACAACATCAATAGATTTTTACTGTGATAATATTTCAAATGTTATTGATAATAACTATTTTATATAAAAATATTGTCAATTTGTAACATGGAAAAATATTAACAAAGATATATTTCGAATTATCAACATTTCCTAACAAATGCCTTATTTAAATACCGCAAAATTAAGATTCTTATATCTCCCAGTGCTATTGGTTAGAAATATTCAATACTGTGCAGTGAGCTAAGAAGAAAAAGTATTACCCTAAACAACTTTCGTTCTAATGATCATATTTTCACTCACTAAAATTCATACTCAATGGTACAAAGTGTTAACCTTAAATATAATTATTAATTAGTGCTAACTATTAACTAAGTTACAGAATCAGGCACAAATGTGTACTTTCTCTGAACAAAAGTACTTCTTTTTCAATGTATTTGGATTTCTGATCATCAAAATACTATGAGCTACCGAAAACTTTTAAATATGTTTAATATAGTTTTGTCAGAATTCAAAAGTTTTGACCCCTTAATGTTAATTTTCCTTTTTGCATATTCCGCCATTACTCGGAAATATGTTAAGGTCATTGAAAATTTTTTCCACATAATTATGAACTTCATGTATCCAAAAAATAGTTCTCTGTAAAAATTAATTTTTAATAATGATCGAATTTTTGAGTAATTTGGTCTATAAATTTTTGCAATATAAATAGATTGTAGTTTTAAATATCACATAACAAAATTTGAACGAAATAAGTGGAACCAATAAAAATGGCTCATGGTTCTTGAAAATTCAATCACTAAAATGAAAGTTATTTAGGGTGAATTTTTTTTTTTCAGTTCACAGTACGTTTACCAATTTAGCATTTCATCGATTTGTTCAAATAAAGCTTCATTCTCGACATTTTGTCTGCTTTCAGATAATTTTTGATATTGTTTGTGAAGCCTCTGCTGTACGAAATAGTACAGATCGTACTCAGCTGTAAGGTTGGCTTTCAAAAGAGCTTTCACTTCTTCCTTAACAAATCCTTTTTGAACATTCTGATTAAGGTGATAACCTGAAAAAACATATTTTCAACTATCAGTGATTTAACTATATACTTACAATGAACACTTAAAAATTTATTTGAAGAAAAAAAACTTAAACCTGTGATTTCTAAATGGCGTTTCCTGGAAACCTAGGGTTCACTAGAAGGGTTATATGCTTTCCGATGTTATTTTTAATTGGTTACGATTTTAAAAAATTTGTTTGAAAAAAAACAAACTTAAACCTGTGATTTCTAAATGGTGTTTCCTAGAAACCTAGGGTTCACTGGAAGGGTTATATGCTTTCCGATGTTATTTTCAATTGGTTATGATTTTAAAAAATTTATTTGAAAAAAAACAAACTTAAACCTGTGATTTCTAAATGGTGTTTCCTGGAAACCTAGGGTTTACTGGAAGGGTTATATGCTTTCCGAGGTTATTTTTAATTGGTTACGATTTAAAAAAATTCATTTGAAAAAAAAAAACTTTAACTGGATTTCTAAATGGTATTTCCTAGAAACCTAGGGTTCTCTGGAAGGGTTATATGCTTTCCGATGTTATTTTTAATTGGTTACGATTTTAAAAAATTTATTTGAAAAAAAAACTAAAACCTGTGATTTCTAATTGGTGTTTCCTGGAAACCTAGGGTTCCCTGGAAGGATTATATGCTTTCCGAGGTTATTTTTAAATGGTTACGATTTTAAAAAATTTATTTGAAAAAAGCAAACAAACTTAAAACTGTGATTTCTAAATGGTGTTTCCCGGAAACCTAGGGTTCCCTGGAAGGGTTACATGCATTCCGAGGTAATTTTTAATTCATTACGATTTCCGAAATCTGTCATTAAAATTATATTAATTGATCATCCATTATTTATTTAACACTCCTGTTATTTTTATGAAATTATTTAATTAAAATGTTAGTGAAGAAAGAAAAGTAAGATTAAAAGTCTTTCCTAGCAACAATATTTGATGAATTATGAAAAGGATATGCATTTATAAAAACAAGCATCATTCTTTCGCGTCAAGTAAAATTAACAATAAATAAATATATTTCTATAAAAACCATTCTTTGCATTTATTTTCGCCATTTTTCTTTAAATGAAAACCTCATTTTACGTCATGCATTTTCAGTTTATACATACTCTAATTTCAAATTATGTACTAGCTTAGATACCACCTTAGACCTGTTAATTCAACTTTCTAGTGCAACCCCCATTTTTAAAACTAGTATTTATAAAGACTAGTATTGATATAAAAAATTTTCATACTTCAAGCACTCATTTAATATTTTTAAAATAATTAATAGTCCTTCTTTAATTAACCTATTCACAATTGCTAAGGATATTTATTAAGTTTTGGGGTTCCGCACAAAGAAGATCGATCTTTTAGGGTTCCATAGCCTACGAAATATTGGGAACAGCTGAATAACCCTTTGACGATTCGGAACTAATTAACAATTTAATGTAGGCTGGAACCTTGATGTTGCTTTCATATATTTTTTTGCTTTCGCTTTAATTACAAACAAAAATATATTTTGCTATTTTTTAATTACAAAACACAATCTAATAGTTTCTAAATCTGTTGAATAATCGGAATTCTATTTGTACTGAAATGTAAACCCCAAAAAATGCAGTTTGAATTTTTTTTTTATTCATATTCAAAAATGTGGAAACCTAAATAATTTACCTTTTTTTGGAGGAACATCGAGACTCCATGAATTCATTAGCAATTGTAAATATATTAATTAACGAAAGACTAATTATTTTGAAAATATGTAATGATCAAAATTTTATTAATTACTTTGAAAATATTTAGTGAGTTAAGGAAGACTGGAACTTTTTGCATCATATCGTTTTATCAATATTAGTTTTATCAATACTTTATCAATATTTTATTCATATTCAAAAATGTGGAAACTTAAAAATTTACCTTTTTTTGGAGGAACATCGAGACTCAATGAATTCATTAGCAATTGTAAATATATTAATTAACGAAAGACTAATTATTTTGAAAATATGTAATGATCAAAATTTTATTAATTACTTAGAAAATATTTAGTGAGTTAAGGAAGACTGGAACTTTTTGCATCATATCGTTTTATCAATATTAGTCTTATCAATATTTTATTCCTATCATTATCAATATTAGTCTTATCAATACTTTATCAATATTTTATTCATATTCAAAAATGTGGAAACCTAAATAATTTACCTTTTTTTGGAGGAACATCGAGACTCAATGAATTCATTAGCAATTGTAAATATATTAATTAACGAAAGACTAATTATTTTGAAAATATGTATTGATCAAAATTTTATTAATTATACTTTGAAAATATTTAGTGAGTTAAGGAAGACTGGAACTTTTTGCATCATATCGTTTTATCAATATTAGTCTTAAAGTTGAGTTTTGAATTCAGACAGTTGAATTCACAGATCTGGAGAGGTATCTAGTCTAAAATTCTAGTTCTTAATTAGATTTTAGTGCACGCATAAAATGTAAATGATCGTGCGCAAATATGGTTCCCATATAAATAAAATAAATAAAGAAAAAAGAAAATAAATGCTAAGAATGGTTATCAGAGAAACTTACTTCCTCATTGTTTAATTTGGTTATTTTTTTTTTTCACTTCGAAATATTAATACAATTTTTCACTGATCCATATCCATTTCTTAATTCATTCGTAATATTGCCATTAGAAAAAACATTGTTGCGAAATTTCTTTTGTTACAAGCATTTCATTTAAATAATTTCTTAAAAATAACGAAAATATTAAATAAGTAATGTGTTTGAAAGTACTAAGATTGGACATTCAAAAAAATGTAATTACAGGTTTCGACAATTATAACTAGTTGTAAAAATTTCTCACTCTTGGAACCCTTGTGATTCTTTCACGGAACTCTAGGGTTCCGCGGAACACCATTTGGGAACCACTATCCTAGGAAATATTGCATTTTAAGGCTCCACAATTTCCAGACCCTCGACATGATAATGGCAATGCGATCAACATTGCTCACCAGTCGACTTTACTTCAATGATAATAGCTGGTACTCAACAATCTAGGAAAACCTAGGATAGGATCTAGGAAAACCAAATCTTTCAAAAAATTTTCCCTGATTATTTCCGTAATGAGCATTCCTCGTCATGGAAACTGGCCTATGAGAGAGTCTTAATGAGGTTAATTACTGGTTCTAAAAATGTGTGTGTGTTTGTTTGTTTTTTTCAAAATTGATTATTCATTTCATAATTATTGAATTCCTTGAATCTGAAATTTCAGAGATTTGAGTTGAATCATGAAATATTTAGGACCTTATAGTTGCATCGAAAATTGAAGATATTTAAAATTATGACTGACCTGAATTATGATATATCTGGAAGGCTCTCTTGAAGAATTGCGGTAAAGTTGCCTCTAGAACCTGCAATGTAATATTCATTTCCTCTAGAGTTCCAACTACAGCATAGTATTTTTCAATGTTTTGCTTTGCTTTCAAAACTGCGTCTGGATCGTTAATATTTCTGAAAAATTATTAAATGATAAATGTTTTTCTAATTTAAGATCTTAGTGGATCTCTCTCTCTATATATATATATGGGTCATTCTCACAAAAAGAGTCATTTTCATGTCCCCAGTATATTTTATGTTTGTTTTACAGCTTACGAAATTTTTTTTTTTCAGGGAAAGTGTCCTTCAGAATGCAAGCTAACAAAAGAATAAAAATAAAATTATCAATTTTTATTTGTTTTAAGTAATTAAAATATACCAATATGTCATTCCCTCACTTGTTCCCACTGCTGATTTAAAAAAAGAAAAAAATTGTTTCTGAAATAAAAATTTTTNTCTTCATTTAATTGGAAAGTATGGTATTTTATCTGTAAGTCATCTAGTATATCTATGGCACGACGCCTCATATCAATTTCGAAAAAATGTAATTTTAAATATTCTCCTGTGTGTTTACCTTCAAAACTGGTTATTTGCTGGTCTTGAAGCTTCTTCTTTAGGTTTAGCCATTGTGCGCAGTTATCTTTTATTATTATCGGTGGAATCCTGGGTTTGCTTGCTCTCTGGTATTGAAAATCTGTTGTTTCTTCCATTGCTTCTTCAATGACGTCATTAGGCTGGTTCAGTTGGTTTCTCCTAGGTTCGGATGTAGCGGGCGGTTCCCCATGCTGGCATTCCTTAGAGGTGGTCGCTATTGATGTCTGCCGTATGGTGGCTCCATCTTGAGCTGCTGTGGTGTTGGCTTGTTGTTTTTGAATTGGAATAGAATTTTTTGCATTGGGAAATTTTTTGTTGGTGGGTTCATCTTCCTCCGAACTGGATGATCTGGTTCTTTTTGTAACTGCTTGTTGTTTTCCTTCGTCACTGATTGTTTTCTGTTGGTTGTTATTCGTATTGGCTTTTGTTGATGATTTCCTTCGATTTTTGTTTTTCTTTACTGGAGTGGCTATGGATATCGTGGGATTGCTTGGGATTATTACTTCTGAGTCTGCATTCAGTTTATTGATTTTTTGTAGATGTCTATTTTCTTTTTTTAATTCATCATTTTCAGCTTGGATCTTATCCATACTTTCTTGCAGTGTGGTCATCTTAGTTTCGAAAATTGTTTTGATGTTATTTATTTGCTGAGATAGAGTTTTGTTGAGTTCGGTTTGTTGTTGAAGTTGTTGCTTTAGTATATCCATAGTGTCCATTACCCAGCTGGGAACAGCACCTTCACTGATTTGAATTGTATTAGACATTATAGTGTTATTGTAAGCACAGAAATAATTATAAAGTTTATAAAATAAATTTATCTGCACTAACTTGGAATAAATGCAGCTACCGCTGCTCGAAAATTATAACCTGTAAATAAAATTGTGGTTCAGCATACACTTTATGCTGACAAGAAAACAAAATTGTCTTAGCGCAACTCGCACTATGAAGCTCTATTTGGTGCCGTGGCCAGGATAAATAAAAGTTTCAGAATGCACAAATGTTTGCAAATAATCACAAATAATCAGCTTTTGTAGTCATAAATCACACTATTAATTTATTTCAAGTTTTCGTGAGACGCCCACTATAATTGTTGACGTAAGCACTATTGAAACTGAAATTTGCAATCCAAGTCGTAAACACAAATTGTAGTAGTTAACGTGATACGCCCCAATGGCGGTAGTAAACAAATAAGTCTGTTTTCAAATAGTCATCACATTTTGTGGCACAAAACTTTGTCACTGCAATATCTGGACACAACAATCGTTGTTGTAGATCAAATATAACTTTATCAATTCCCTAAGAAAGAAATCATACCTGTCGTACTCCCATTCACATCCTAACATCAATATCAGTCCTGCATCATTTGATGACATACGTCAAAAACCGTCATCGTGTGTCCATATCGTGGATTCAATTTCTATTAGATCTATATGCTAGGTGGTCACATTAATTGAAACTTATTATGCAAATTTTATCTGTTTTAGTGGTAGCATCAATTTAAGATTTATGCGGAATTCGTTTTACCCTTTTGTTACGACTGTATTTAGCCGGCATCCATGCTATGACCTGAGTGTACGAGTGCCATATGTAACTGCTCCAATCTGCTAATATTGAGGGTATACCTGCCAACTTTTCCGGATTTTCGGGAAGATTTTATTTTCATATTTAAAGTGTTAGCAATACTCAGGTTATTCCAATTAGCTTTTTTAATTATAATGATAATTATAAATGAGTTTGACCACCACTACATATAAATAAATACAATTAATATATGAAAGCGTAAAACTTCTCATTAGAAGTTATTAGTTATTTATCTTATCTTAATTTTTATGTACTATTTTAATTTTATGTAGTTGTATTTTTTATTCATGTATTTACAACATGTATCGCTCTATGTGATTTCACATGAGCAATTTGCACATTACTAATTTTCTTCTTTCAATTCTAGATTACCAGAACCACAATGGAAACACCTCTAGGATCCCATCTCACGATGAAGGGGTAAAGGGCCGTTCCGGCCTCGTGCACCCTGAACATCCAACAAGACCAGACCAGACCATGAAAGCATAATAATTCTTGAGCAAGCGAATTTCAACGTGATCAAAATATAAATATATTTTTGAGTCAGATTGTTTTTCGTTTATTGTTTTACAACCACTCTGAAAATCCATTCTCGGAAAGAGTGAAAGTTGGCAGGTATGTGAGTGTATTGACCAATATTTCATTTACTTATATTGGATTAATACCACCAAAAGTATATGAGTGCACTTAATATGTAACAAGCTGAATCTGAGTGTTATATTTTTATACTGATGACTATTGGTAGCTATTTTACTAAACTTTTCTACTAAATATTGTGGTTGTTATTATGTGCTTTAATTTCTGCATTATTTCTAACTTGACAATGGAGTTTTCTCCTATTTTTCCTTTACATATATTAATAAATGTTTCCAATTCATGACTAATTTAAGACTATAAGATTCAATGAACGGGCTAGTGGAGTTTCGCGCCAAACGCCGAGGATGTTACACATTCCCAGCACTTTCCGCATTGAACTGTGAGGTGGTAAAACAGGGGTTGAACTAACGCCTCCTATAACTGAAAACCTCCACACGGTTTTTTATAGGTAGTAGGTAGTCTGATCAGACCACTGTGAAGGATATCCACTTCCCGAACGAGTCATTTAATATAAAATCTAGTTAAAATTAGAAAGTGGTAGCAAATATATGACTAAAATTTTTTTTAATTCATGAATATTATTGGTTTGCCCCATTCACTTGTCAACCACTACAGATTAAATTCTCAAATATATATAATAAATTTCTCTCAATTACTTTTATAATAACAGTTCTCCAGAGATGCCAACTGCTCCGGACACGCCAAAATTATTAAAAAAGCGGTAAAGAACTACAAAGTAAATTTTGCAAATATTTGACTTTTTTTGCTTGCTTTTTAAATGGTACAGCATAACATTACTACTAAAAAGTGGTCAATTATATAAGCTTACGAATTATTTAGAAATAGTGGTGAATAAAAATTTACTAAATTGAATTTATTGAACCAAGAATCACAATTGATAAACTACCACTTTAAAATATATATTTGCTGTCCGGAGCAAGTTGGCATCTCTGGTTCTCAATCTATTTTGATCTACAATTTCACATTTAATAAGCCAGACACAGAGTATAAACCTGCGTCGCCCAAAGCTTCTGCTACTTCTCTAGTATCTCTTGCTAACGACAGTACTACAGGCGCCTACGGGCACTACATCATAATGAAGGAGTGGAGTGTCCAAAATCAGTCTAACTCTACTTTTATAAACTTTTATAAAAGGTTTTGGGTTCATGCGCACAACTGGCTCACTTTTTAAATAGTCTGCGCGGACTACTTATAAAAGACCGTGTGGAGGCTTTCTGATGTAGGAGGTGATGGGTTGAACCTCGAGAGGGCGTTTACTTGATAAAAACAGGGAATACAATAAAACTTATTAATTAAGGTCAAAGAATAATGATTTTGAAAACTATTCAACAAATGCTAAAATCCACGATCACCATCTACAACATATAGATCAAATCGGCAAGTAGTTCCAAGTAGAGAGATTTCTTACACATCTCTAACAAAAGCGTTGTTGGTGGGGGACACTGTTCGAAAATCGCTTCTGATAAAATCTTATCGCTACTTGCAGTTCCATTACATAAGCACGTATGAGCTTTCTATATTTTATTTTACTTTATTTTATAACCGGTGAAGAACAGCTGAACCATTTTGGAGTTTATGACTGTGTTCAAATCGAGTAGCCTCACAATTTTAAAACCAACCTAAGAGACAAAGGCACTTTTGGACCAAGCATTGGGCCAAACTCACCTTCGAGGAAGATTATTTTATGGAACTAACTTCCATTTGCATTAAATGCATTTGTGTTTCGTGTTCGAGATTAGTTTGACAGCAAGAGGATTCTAACTCATGATTCGTCTACTACTGAGGATATATTACTTCAGCACTGTGATCGGTGCAATCCGAGAGGCTACTTTACAATCCACCGGCCTTTAACGACTCTCCCTCTCTCTCTTTTAGAGATTTTCCTCTTGCCTGTAGTTGGAAGCTTTTATTTCTTTTTAAATTTGCTACCTAAGCTTGAAAAATGACAATAATTAAGTTTTTTCTTTTAATTTGAAAAAAGGCGAAGCAAGTGGGTCAATCGCGGGCCACTGGATTGGTACCGAGAAAAACATTCTTTTTCACTGGGACTTCCATTACTGGGACTCGAACCTGGGTCATGTCATTGGAAGGCGATGGTTCTATCACTTGAGTATTTGAATATTACTGCATATCAGGTGACAATTGAGAGATGAATGACGGGTTATTGAAAGGTGACGTATCCTCTCCAGAGATAAGTCTTTAAAATGATTGGGATTATTACGTTATCAAAATAATTCTGACACACCAGAAAGATTTCAATCATGAGGTGGTGATTTTAATTTTTGACGAAAATAAACTAATAAAAAAATGAGCTTACTGTAAGAATCACCTTGCTTTCCTACCTGAGAAAAATTTGCAACCATGTTAAATAATATATGCAGTCACTATTAATCTTCGTAATTATATCCAATTATTGGATATAATTATGACTGCAATGTAATAATCCTTCATAATTATATTGCAGTGATAAGTTTATAAAATAAATTTATCTGCACTTACTTGGAATAAATGCAGCTACCGCTGCTCGAAAATTATAACCTGTAAATAAAATTGTAGTTCGGCATACACTTTATGCTGACAAGAAAACAAAATTGTCTTAGTGCAACTCGCACTATGAAGCTCTGTTTGGTGCCGTGACCATAAAAGTTTCAGAATGCACAAATGTTTGCAAATAAACACAAATAATCAGCTTTTGTAGTCATAATTCACACTATTAATTTATTTCAAGTTTTCGTGAGACGCCCACTATAATTGATGACGTAAGCACTATTGAAACTGAAATTTGCAATCCAAATCGTAAACACAAATTGTAGAAGTTAGCGTGATACGCCCCAATGGTAGTAGTAAACAAATAAGTCTGTTTTCAAATAGGCATCACATTTTGTGGCACAAAACTTTGTCACTGCAATATCTGGACACAACAATCGTTGTTGTAGATCAAATATAACTTTACCAATTCCCTAAGAAAGAAATCATCGGCTTTCCAGAATCTCGCATCAAAACATCAAGACGATTATCTC